CCTGGTCCCACGCTGAGCCCTGACCCTGGTCACACGCTGAGCCCTGATCCTGGTCCCACGCTGAGCCCTGACCCTGGTCACACACTGAGCCCTGACCCTGGTCCCACGCTGAGCCCCGACCCTGGTCCCACGCTGAGCCCTGACCCTGGTCACCTGCTGAACCCTGACCCTGGTCCCACGCTGAGCCCTGACCCTGGTCACACGCTGAGCCCTGACCCTGGTCCCACGCTGAGCCCTGAGCCTGGTCACACACTGATCCCTGACCCTGGTCACCTGCTGAGCCCTGAGCCTGGTCACACGCTGAGCCCTGACCCTGTGTCTCATCTGGAGTCACTCACACATGTTCACGTGTAGTCATTCACGTGTCATGTGCGTGGAGGGCTGCCTCCTCTTCTAGCCACACGTAACAGTCCAGCATGTGACACAGTCGTCTTGGAAAGTCTGAGTCAGAGGCTTCCACCCACAGGGCAGACCCCCTGCTGCCTCGCCCCCAGTTGTACACACACACACAGACTCAACATCTACAGCTGAGGCCACTGCTCACAGCGAGGCTCAAGGCCACCCCCCCTCACCCCCGCACACCTACGCCAGCCTGACCAGTGGCAATGAGGGCCTTGGGAGCAGGGCTGTTAAGGAGGGAAAGGGGGACTTTGCAGAATTCTCAAATGTTTAGGGGGATGGAGGATGGGGGGGTCGGTAGGTGGATGGATGGTTGGAGGGTAGATGGGTGGGTGGATGGAGGATGGGTGCAGGGAGGATGGGCTGGTGGTGACGGGGGTTGATGAAGGGCAGGAGCACATCCCTGGAGTTAAGTTCTGTGGTTCTGAAAGGACAGCTCCCTGGATCTCTCACTGGTAGAAGCTGCAAATGTTTTGCAGTTTCCTTTTTAAAAACAGCCAAGAGTTACATAGAGCATAAAAGTCAGAGCTGGCAAGATCCTCAGAAATCATTTGCTCTGCCCTCACTTGAAAATGGTGTAGCTGAGGCCCGGTGTGGGGACGTCAGGACAGGCCAGGCCTGGGCCACAGGCGCTCCACGGTGCTCGTCCTGCTACGCCAGCGTTTCTTTTGGGAGGTGTTTTGCCCGATACCAGTCCCGCGTGGGCTCCAGGGAGGGCAGGGTTCTATGCCCACTGTGTCTTGTGCTCCCGGGTCCACACTCAAGTCAGCTATGAAGGCTCTGAGAAGTCCTGCAGCAGCCTCCTCTTCAGTCGGGCTGGGGCGCTTGGCACCCTTACTCTGTAACTTGAGCCGGCAGGGCAGACGCTGGGACAGGCTGGTGGAGGGCGTGATGTTCCCGCAGAGTCTGTGGGGTCCTTTCCCGAAGCCTGAGCCCACTCCAGGCACCTTCAGAACCCTCTCATTTACTCACACAAGCTTTCTGGCCGGCTGAGGACCAGGGCTCAGAGTGACAAGCCCAGGGTCGCCCCGTGGGTTGTGTGAGTCTGCGCTCTCTCCCTGCCCGTGCCGACCCCCAGCCCTGCTGGGTGCAGCTGTCCTGGGGGACGCTGAGGACCCAGGGCCAGCCCCCTCCCTGGGGTCCTTGCCCAAGTACGTGTCTTGGTCCCTTTAAGAGCCTTGCCCCTCCCCCATCCTTGGTTTCCTTGGAGAGGGCGGTGAGGGGCCAGGCCGAGGGGGGCAAGCGGAAGGGAGTCTTGGCAGGGTCCCCAGGTCGCTGTCAGCAGCCGGTTCCCAGCCCAATTTCTCCCACACCGGCTGGTTCCTGATGGGGGCAGAGGAGGCCGTCAGAGGCGGACACGGAGGGGGATGGGGTAGGAGACGGCTCAACACAGAAGGCCTCCCTGGTGGCCTGGGTAGGGCCTCGGGATCCACGTCATCAGTGAGCACGGGAGGGAGGTGGGGGGACATGCTCTGCTCCCCCCACCTGGATGGGGGCTGGGGCTGGAGGAGGGGTGCAGAGCTGCTCCCAGAGGCGAGACCACCCACCCATCCTAGCCTCTGCTCTGGACTCAGCGCAGACCCTTCCCCAGCGCCCGTCCCTTCTCTGAGCTGCCCCCTGCTTCGTCCTTGGGGAGCAGGGGGGCTGGCAGAGGCCCACGGTGGGCCTGCCCTCTCTTCGGGGGGCGTCTGAGCCCCGGGCCTGCGTGTCCCCTGCCGGGTTTGGGAGCTGGAAGGGACAGACAGCCATGAGGTCACGGCCCAGGGACAGCAGCTGTGCTCTGAACCTGGGGCAGTGAGCGTCCCCACTGCCCTGCTGGCAGCCCAGCTCCGCAGCCACCGCCGGCCGCCCCATGGGCCCCCTCGCCGCTCCCCGCTCTGGTGCCGCTGGAACACTTGGCGCCTTTGTCCGTGGTCCCCGTGCGCTCTTCTCCAGCCTCAAAAGCCACCTGCTCCTGGAGGCCTTTCTGCCTGTTTTTCTGCACCCCTAGCCCTGTCCCCTTCCTCCCAGCTCTGACCCCCATTTGCAGCAACTCCGTGTATCCGCAGAGTGTGAGGCCCGCCGCGCGCAGGGCCTGGGTCTCCTCATCCAGCCTGCCACCTCCCCCGCCCAGCGGGCACACAGGAAGCCCTCGGGAGGGCTTATTCTAACGGCCCCTGCCCTCGCCCTCTTTTTCTTCCTTCTGGAAAGAGCACTGCTGGGCCAGTGGCGCCCTGGTGAGGCGCGTCTGGGGACGGGGGCAGGGTCCGGTGCCAGGAGCAGGCTGGGAGCATCACAGACATGTGCCCGAGGGTCGGGGGGGGGGCTCCTGAGCGTGGGGGGCTTTCCGGGGCGGAGTCAGGGCC